GGTTCACTTCTAATTTGTTGGGGCCCAGTATTAAACAAGGAGCTCTGGTAGCGTAGTGGTTACGAATCGGGCTGCTAATCTCACGGTCAGCAGTTCGAAACTACTAGCTGCTCCATGGGAGAAAGATGAAGCTTTTTGCTCCTATAAAGATTTACAGCATCGGAAACCCTGTACAGGGTTACTATGAGTTGGAACCGACTCCATGGCACATAACAACAAGTATTAGAACAGTCCCATTATTAGGTGAATATGTCCACTTAAATCATAGGCTGATATTTTTAAATGTTTATGTCATCTATTTAACATCCTGTGACGTCATTTTATGTTCACCAAAAATCTGATTCTTTGACTTCCCTTATGGTGCACTTAAGAAAATGCTAGATACAATTCTTGGCTAGAAACAAATTCACTCAGCTATTAGATCTATGGAGTCCTGGTGTGGCACTGAAGGATATGCATTCAACCATAAGGTCAATTTGAACTGCAAGGTTGGCTGTTCAAACTCGCCAGCTGCTCTTTGAAACCCTATACAGGGTCACCAAGGGTCAGAACTGACCCAGTGTCACTTAACAACAATATTAGATCTATGGAGTCCTGATGTGGCACTGTAGGATAAGCACTGGACTGCTAACCACCAAGTCGGCAGTTCAAACCTACCAGTTGCTCCTTGGAAATCCTACATAGGGTTGCTATTAGTTGGAACCGACTCAACAGTACTTGATAACAACAACAGCATTAGATATAAAACACAAATTAATAAATAGCATTCTAAATTCAGAAACCAGTTTCTCCAACCTTAAATAGGCTGACTTCATCATGACATTAGGCAGACTAATAAATTAGCCTGAATGCACAGGAACTGGAGTGTCAGATCCTATACTATGGTAAAATTGACCAGTAGAATGTTACTCCATAAAAACTACACAGACGGTCTGTTGGACTGTTCCAATTAAAATCCTGTCTTGTTGCACTATTTTCTTTTTTTACATTTGCACATATTTTTGTCTATTTAAAGTCATTAAAGAAATACTATAGGAGTCCTGGTGTGGTATTGTAGGATACGCACCAGACTGCTAACTGCAAGGTCAGTAGTTCACATGCACCAACAGCTCCTTGAAAACCCTATATGGAGTTGCTATAAGTTGAATCCAACTTGTTGGCACTTAATAACAACAAAGTACTATTAAAGCCCTTCTATGTTCAGATCTGCATACATCTTTCCAACAATTTCCCTCCGTATACCCAAAGCTCCAGTAGAAGCAAATGTTCTAACTACATACATTGCTGTTGTTACTAAGTGCCATCAGGTTGGTTCTGACTCCTAGTGACCCTGGATAGGGTTTCCAAGGAATGGCTGATGTGACCCTGGATAGGGTTTCCAAGGAATGGCTGATGCGTTTGAACTGCTAACCACAGGGATTATCTTACAGTGCCACAACAGGATTCCAAGTACATACATTACAGTTCCCATATTTCTTCCTCTATTCCCATATTTCTCCTCTTCATGTTAATAAATCTAAATTTTAATAAATCTGAAAATTCAGCACAAATACTAGCATTGTCATGAAGACTTTTCAAAGTACACCAACATTAAAACTAGTAATTCTGTTGACCTCAGTAAGTGGAGAGGAGTCCTGGTATTCTAATGGTTACAGACTTGGTTAACCCAAAGTTTGGCAGTTCAATTCCAGCAGTCAGATGCTGGATGGAGGAGAAAGATGTAGCAGTCTATTTCCATAAAGATTACAACTTTGGGAACCCTACAGGGTAGTTCTACTCTGTCCTATAGGTTGTGAATCAGATCAATTCAATGACAATTGAGTTTGGTTTGGGGTTTAAGCAAGTAGCAAAGTGCCCTCAGATCAATTTATAACTTGTGACGTACCTCACCAAAGGGAGTTATTAAGAATTAGAGGCATCTGGTCAGTCTTTTTTTGAAATGATGAGTATTAACCAGGTGTTAAACTCCGTTTCCATATGCTTGAAAGACAGCATGTGCTGTTAACGTGTAATGCAATAAATGCTACATATATGAGCTATTTAAATCATTATTTTACATTTCTGCACTCTAAATGTCAGTGCATTGGAACACAGCCTAGCTTACCCACAGTATCATATACAATAGCAACATCTGTGTATTTCATTTAAAAGTACTCTCATTAAGAGGGACTATTATTTTATTTTAATTATTATTAAAATTATTTAAATCATTTCCTCTGTAAAGGTATTACTTGCTCTCTGTACTGTTTTGTTTTTGCCCTCCAAATAATGTGCCCAGGTAAATAATACACGCACACATATAACATTCATAGTATGCATAGGAAACTATGAGCGAGGGTGTTGCAAAGCTTACAAAAAATACAATGTTATTATTTGTGTAAAGATATGTATTATATTTGTGAATCTCTATTTCATCTCCTTTTCTACATTCTTTGAAGGTCTGATCCATGACTATTTCATCATTGTATAGCCTATAGATTCCCAGACAGAGCCTTGTGTGTAGAGGGGAACTTTAAATATAAAATAAGAATTTTTCTTCTACTCTCCTCATTTTTTTAATTTGCATCCCATATTCTTACGAATTTTTCCTTAACCATCCCAGTTCACAGATCCTGTCTATTTTGGAACTCTTCCCTACAAAACAGACTGCCTTAAAGTCATTCAATTGCCACCAATACTACCCTAGCTTTATCTTTTATGTGCATATGCATGTTACAGCCTTTTTCTATTTCACTTTACACTAACAATATCTAGACACAACATTTTTTATTTGTTAAAATTCATTTCAACTAACCTTTTAAAAATCAACCAAGAAACTCAGGAAAGTATAGTAAAAAACAGCACCTAAAGAGAACAAAAGACCTTATCTATGGCAATGAAAACTAAACTCCCACAGTTAAAGAACCAAAGGCTTTCACATACATGATAGTTACCAGCAAATTAAATTGTGTTGGGAGTCTACAAGCATCTCTGAATTTCAAAAGTCTTCCTTTTCACTTTAGGGAGACACAAACATAGCCACATTCATTAACTGGCAAGACCAATGAAAGCAGATGGCTTCAAACAAAAACAATTAATTATATTAAAACATGTAAAGACAAATTCCATTTGTAATTTAATTTTTCCCACTGAAGACATTTATATTCAGTTTGTAGTGTACATAATTTGACCCTATGCTAAGTCTTAACTCTTTTATTTCTATTATGTTTCCTCTTCCCTGATGGACAAAAAAACAGAAGAGCATTCTTCTTCACTTCTTTTGTGTCCTTCAACAACAATGGAGGTACTTAATAAATATTGGCAGAATGGCATTAATGTTACTTGTGTTTTGAACACTTTTTGATAATGAATAGGATATCACAGATTCACACACATTATTTTTTTAATTATACCTACAGTTAAATTCTATAATAAGAAAGAGTTCTCTATTTCAGAATCTAAATCAGAACTATTCAGGCTCTTGATACTCAAACTGCGGTATTACCTGGAAGCTCATTCTGAACAGAATTTCAAGACCCACCTCAGGCTTCCTAAATTAGGATCTGCGTTTTTAAGATCCCCAGTGGTCTGTAAGCACTTTAAGGTTTGAAAAGCATTAGTTGAAATGCTCAAGCAATAATTAGAATACCTAAAATGCATATAATCAATTAATGTTAAATCCTTATTATAATTGCTTATTTGTCTTCATAATCCGTTCACTGAAGGCTTGTGGAGGGCAGAAGCCATTTCTATCTTGCTCACCACAAGTAGTCCCTGCCTAATACGGCCTGAACAGTAAGTACCCAGTACTCAAGAAATATTTTTTGTTCACTGCATGAATGACAAAACAAAGTAAAAATAGAACTTTTTCAAAAAGCCAATCATTTAGGACATTTTTAAAAAACATACTAAATTTGCAATTTGGTGTTATTAACTCCGTTTAAAATGTCTTGCCTTCTTTATTTCAACAAGCCCATTTTATGCACTTGCCAAAGCAAAAGCATTGAATCATCTCTCTGTAGGACCCACGAGGGGCCTCTTTTACCAGTGAGATGGCTGCATTTTAATCTGGCTCTGGTAAATCTATCCCATAAGCCTGTACAGGATGTAATCACCACAATTTGGGGAGGATGAAGCAGAGGAGGAAAGGATAAGGCAAAAACAATACTGTATCAGAAGCATCATACGAAAACTGCAAAATGTGATGCTTCGCGCAGGATAGCTGGATACTTCCAGAAAATAACTCCCAGCAAAAGAAATAAACAAGGTAGAGCGCTCTTAGCTTCTCAAGAGCAAAAGGTGATGCTAGAGAATACCAAAAACCCATTGTCATGAAGTCCCTTGTTTCTGACTCATAGCAACTTATAGGACAGACTAGAACTGCCCCAGAGGGTTTGCAAGGCTGTACATCTTTTAGGGAACCACATCTTTCTCCACTGAGAGGCTGGTGGGTTCGAAAAGTCAACCTTTTGGTTAGCAGTCGAGTGTTTAACCACTGCATCACCAGGGTACCTTACTACACTAGGGCTGATATAAGACTAGAAACTACCTAGCGACAGAAGATGGAAACACACCAGCCCAGAACTAAAGCGGATAGCGATTAGAAAGCCAGAAGGGTGCCAAAAACCACTTTCAGGTTTGCAGAGAAGGAAGTCAAGGGAGGAGAAAGAGGAAAGGAAATAGCTGGGTGAAGGGTATAACTTAACGATGAGGATGATGCTTTGTTATTCTTGTTTTGAAAAAGAGAGTGACACGCACTTGATGAAGGGGTGAAAGGTGAGGAAGACTGCAATTTAGCGCACTGCAAAAGGAAGCGACTGCAATGTCCTGCCCAGCTCAGACGGTCCGACAGAAGAGCCCCGGTAAAGGTGGGTGGCAACGCCCGGCTCCGCTTGCCCCCGCCCCATGGCCCAAGCCATCTCCTTGGAAGCCCGCAGAACACTGGGTGGGGTCGGCAACGAGCTGTGTGTGGGAGAGTGTGCATGACCAGGGGACGGATGCTAGGTTGACCAGGTACCCACCTTGTCCCAACGGAGCCACTGCCCGATGGCCGTGTCTAGCTGAGGGTCCCCGGTGTGGTAGTGAGTGTGGAGCAGGTTGAAGTTCAGGTCCCCCTCTGAATTTTCAGCCATGGCAGCCAGACTGGGGTGTGCGGCCCTAGGGGGCTACGTAGTCACTGAGTAGGCGACGGGGATCCCCTGAGGTGTGCTCACCAGGGTCTGGACGCCCCCTCCTCACTGAAGGGCATCGGAGACAACCGCCGGGTATTTGCTCTAGCTCCTGCTGCAGCTTTGCGGGACGCGAGAAAGAGGGATACGACCTCACGCTCCCCACCAGATAGAAAAGCTCTAGGTTTCTGGGCTGGACTGATTGGGGCGGTCCAGCGGCCAGAGAACAACAACAGTCCCAGATGTCTGGGTCGTGGCCGGCGCTGCCGCCGCACTTGCTGCCTTTGGCCCCGCCTTCCCACCGTAGACCCCGCCCCTTCCCGCCCCGGAGGATTTAAGGGCCCCCCTGGGAGTAAGACACACGAGCCCAGGAGCGCGCTCTTGGTGTCTCTGCTGCGGTACGAGTTTAGGAATCAACAAGGTGGTGATGAATTGGGGTACGGTGCTTTTTATTTTTCAGTTTGTCTGACGCCAGGCGTATTATTCTTGTTAGCAAATCCACACATAGCCTTGAGTTTCCTTTCCTCTGTATGCCGTCACAACCATTAAAGAGCGCCCCGCCTCAACGATTGTTCTGCGGGCCCCGGGAGCGCGCATTGTCTATCTCCTTCAACCCCCAACCCTCGTCCTCCGCCTTGGTGCATGTATTTGGCGGCGAGGGTACGCTGCTGTTCCCGCAAGGCCTCACGGGAATTGTAGTTCTTTCCTTCCCCCCAAAGCCTGAGGAAACAGCCGCTAAGACTACGACTCCCGGGAGTCTTGCTCCCTCTTATTTTCCTCAAAGGAAAAAGATCTAGCTCGAGGCTGTTCCCTTCGGGCACGCCCGTTCCTGTTAGGCTGTGTGCAGTGTGGCTCTGGGATTAAACAGTTAATTAAATTAAATTCAACAATTAATGATACCGTAAATAACAAATAGTACTTTTTCCGTGGTTTACTAATCGCGTTCTGTCTCTTCAACCATCCTGTGAGGTAGGTGGGCGTGATACATCTCCATTTTACACACAGAAGAAAGTGACCCTCTGAGACAGGAACAGACTTTTTTCAATGTCATCGAGTTTGTATATGATGGAACCTAGTTGCTTTGCTGCTGCAGTGGACTAGGGCCAGGAAGAGCAAGATTACTGGAAAATAGGATAACTGTTAGGAGGAAAGAAAGGTTGGCATTTAACTTAAACAACATTGTGTGAAACTTGTAAGAGACAGGCAAAGGGTGATGAATGAGGAAGAAGAAATTGGTTTTCCCAAACGGAAATGATTTTCTATTTCTTCTTATCTTAGCCTCTTTTATGAAATGCTCGCTTTTCAAGCCACACAACTTGAGGTCAGAGAGGTGCTGAGAAGTGCTTAACGTGTGACTGACACCCGAATGCTCAGGAGTTTCTTCCTTTGACCCTTAACAGTGGCTCTGCTTTTGATCAAGTATCTTACAACTCTTCCCCTAGTCAGCTTTTTTTGTAAAGCGGATGTACTGATATTACCAGCTGTACAGTAAATTAATAAATGACTCTAGAAGTACTATGTGGTTCAGAGATAAAAGAACTAATTAAAAAATACAAAGTTTTACTTTCTTACCTTTAAAATGTATTTACCATAATAAAATCCAAACTAGCAAAGTACAGAAAAATGATGTAGCTATGCCAATTCCTGAAAAATAACCTGCCATAGTTGGGAGTTACAGTTTTTGCTAAGCAGTTGGCTGTCTCCTTAGTAGAGTCAGCAAACTATTTAATCACACAAGCCCTGTGAAATAATCATGTGTCCTGGAGAGAAATTCATCCTTCACTATCATTGCTGTTTTTATGCATGGCAAATATTAATGTGCTATTTACTCTATATTAGGCATTGTATTAGGAGCCCTGTGGTGGTGCAGTGAGTTAAGCTTTAGCCTACTATACCCCAGGTAGTTATTATGTGATGTGGAGTTGGTCCTGATTCACAATGACTCTATATAGGATTTCCGAGGAGTGGCTTGTGGGTTTGAACTGCTGACCTTGTGGTTAGCAGTCCAGTGCTTTTCCTATAGTACTACATCAGGACTCCATACCCAAGGTGGTAGCAGTGTTAAAGTTCTGATTCAAAGTGACCCTGTATAGGATTTCCAAGGAGCAGCTCGTGAATTTGAACTGCAGACCTTAAGGTTCGAACCAACCTTGTGGTCCAGTGCATTATCCCACAGCACCACACCAGGACTCCATACCCAAGGTGGTGTTGTGAAGTGCCATCGAGTCGGTTCCAACCCATAGCAACCCTGTATAGGGTTTGAGAGGAGCAGCAGGTGAGCTTGAACCACCGACTTTGCAGTCTGGCGCATTAGCCCACAGCACCACACTAGGACTCCTGTAAGATTTGCTGTCTTGAATATAGACATGATGGTGGTGGGTTTTGGTTTCTGAGCATTATGCATTATGTTAGGAGCTGAGGCAGTAAGAATTTATTTAATAAAATTGTCCTTTTAAGAAATAAAATCCATCTGAGGGGACAAAATGATAAATAGAGAATACTTGCTATAGACAACGTTAAGTAATGTAGAGTCTGAAGTGGTCAATAAAAGCATCAAGAGGAAGGAAGGACCATATACTAGGCTTTGAGGAACAAAAAATAGAGGGGAGGAAAGTAGAGGGCATTTCAAATCCATAGGCCAGTGCTTCTTAAATCTCTCTCCCTAGGAATTTGTATAAAATGTGTATTACTGAAAAAACTAAAGGGCATTTTAAACTCATACGCCAGTGGTTCTCAAATCCCTCTCCCTAGGAATTTGTATTAAATGTGTATTACTGAAAACACTAAAGGGTATTTCAAATCCACAGGCCAGTGGTTCTCAAATATCTCTCCCAAACAAAGTGGACGGGAAAACAATTAGGCAGGTTTTCATGGGCTAAGTGGGACAGAGGTAAATAATGATGTATGCACAACCTTGGAACAACAGGGATCTGGGATACAGGGATTGAAACATGGTTGGAATGGGGAAAAGGGGCGAAATAATGTTAAGATGTTTGGCTGTCTTTTGAATCTTGGTTTCCCTTGCATACCATTATAAAATAAACACTTGAGGGGGAGAGAAAGGAATAGCCAGAAATATCACCATGGAAAGCTTGTAAGTCTGTCTTCTGCCTATAACTGATTGGAATACCTAAAATGGGATTACAACGTGCCCAGTGAAGGAAGCTTCCTGTGGAGCCTCTGCATTACATTAGACCATAGGTGGAAGCCTGAA